CTGTCAGAGCTCCAGCGTTCCTCTGTGGAGAGAGGAGAACCTTCGGAAGGACAAGGAAGCAATCCATAAATCAGGCCTCTATGGTAGAGTGGCCAGATGGATGCCACTCCTTAGTAAAAGGCACATGGCAGCCTGCCTAAAGTTTGCCAAAATCCACCTGAAGAACTCTCAGACCATGAGAAATAAAATTCTCTGGTCTGGTGAGACAAAAATTGAACTCTTCAGCTTGAATGCTAGGCGTCATGTTTGGAAGAAACCAGGCACCGCCTACCACCAGGCCAATACCATCCCTACAGTGAAGCATGGTGGTGGCAGCATCATGCTGTGGGGATGTTTTTCAGCGGCAGGAACTGGGAGACTAGTCAGGATTGAGGGGAAGATGAATGCAGCAATGTACAGAGACATCCTGGATGAAAACCTGCTCCAGAGCGCTCTTGACCTCAGACTGGGGCGACGGTTCATCTTTCAGCAGGACAAGACCCTAAGCACACAGTCAAGATATCAAAAGAGTGGCTTCAGGAGAACTCTGTGAATGTCCTTGAGTGGCCCAGCCGGAGCCCAGACCTGACTCTAATTGAACATCTCTGGAGAGATCTGAAGATGGCTGTGCGCCGACGCTTCCCATCCAACCTGATGGAGCTTGAGAGGTTCTTGCAAAGAGGAATGGGCAAAACTGCCCAAAGATAGATGTGCCAAGCTTGTGGCATCATATTCAAAAAGACTTGAGGACAAGACAAGACTCTCCAATTTCGCCGTTACTTCTGTAATAGCTAAGGAACCATTGGCAATAGCAGTAAAACTACACCCCCTAATATCTGGCATGAGGACAAAAAACGTAGAACATTACATCACATTGTTTGCAGATGATGTGGCTGTGCTATATTATAAAATCAATACCATTACCCTGAGTGTTGCTATCGATCTTCTCGATCTTCTTGATTCTCTCTGAGTATAATTTGAACAAAGACAAATCTTGTTTCTAAATGACAGATGGAGGAAACCCATCAGCATCCCATCAATGTGTTAATGTCATCAAAGATTTTAACTATTTGCTGTTAGATAGTCACCCTTAGTTTATCAAAATTTATAAAAATCATCCTTAGAATGCACCGCGAGGTGGCAGCAATTTGTAGTAGCTCTCTTGCTTTTTTTTGGACATATTGTTGTCTTTTTATTGACATTACCTGTCAGATTAAGTTTTTCTTGGATGATTTTTTTATGCTGAGTTGAAATCTCTGCAACTCAGGAGATTTTTCTACATATATTTTGCCTTTTTCACAAGTTGTTATGATGAGTATCCATGGCAATGGAAAAATTGTCTACAACCGGGATCAACTGTTAAAACTCTCCCAAATCAAGATTTTCAGCGAAATAATACGTCAAATCCCAGTGGAGTTAAAGAGGAAGAGAAGAGGTTGCAGAGCAGGGGTAAGGCAGAGAGAAAAACAGTGGAGATTTAAACTGTTTCTTCCAACTGTTGTGATGGGTAACGTGAGATCACTAGCTAACAAGATGGACGAGCTTGTAATGCTAACAAGGTCTCAAAAAGAGTACAGAGAGTGCAGTGTTATGTGCTTCACTGAGACATGGCTGCATGAACACATCCCGGACTGTAATGCGTCTGTACACGGCTTCAAGACCGAAATAAACAGCTCAGCGGGAAGCTGAAGGGAGGTGGTATTACAGTGCTGGTTAATCAGCGTTGTTGCCATCCAGGACACGTCACTGTCAAGGAGAAGATCTGCACAAGAGACATCGAAGTGTTAGCTGTGAGTTTCCGTCCAAATTATTTACCCAGAGAGTTTGCCTGTGTTATTCTGGTAGTGGTTTATATAATACCAGGTACCGCACCAGACAGTTATTAGGAGGACTATTAAAACCTGGTCTACGGAGGCTGAAGATGCTCTGAGACGGTGCTTTGAGACCACAGACTGGAATGTCCTCTGTGAACCTCATGGAGACAACATCAACACCGTGACTGAGTGTGTGACAGATTATATAAACTTCTGTGTGGACAGCATCGTTCCAACAAGAACAGTAAGGTGCTTCCCCAATAACAAACCCTGGATCACCAGTGACTTGAAAAAGCTGCTGAACATCAAAAAGAACGCTTTCAGGGATGGAAACAGGGAGTTATTGAAGATCACACAAAAACAACTGAAAAAACAGACTAAGAAGTGTAAGGACTACAGGAAAAAGTTGGAGAGCCAGCTCCAGCAGAACAACGTGAGGGATGTGTGGAATGGAATGAAGAC